CTACAAGCTACAAAGTAATTAATGATCGATATCCATGGAAAATGACTGTCTCGATTTCTTATGAATCGTCTGTAGTAAACATTTTCTTCCTTGTTTTCAAATATATACTTTCTCTATTTCGGCTGCAAAACGGTTTGAATTTTATTTTCTATGTATTCTTAGGGAAATGCGAAGATTAGGTCAGGGTAGGAAAAACTGCAGGTGCGTATGCAACCGGTCTTAGGACTGACGATCTTACGATAATAATCAATTCTATTGCCTCCAGAAGACACAAACCTGTGCAACCTGGAGAATAAATGCTACGGTATTAGTCATTAACCAATTAGGACAGTGATTCAAGAAAACCGCTATGCAGTAGACCATTTGTTGAGTTAGCATGTAGATAATAATAAATTATGTAGGAAAAGGACTTGTGCATAAGTTTTTGAAGGATTTTCGTTCGCTTTCTTAAAATCTGTCATCTGTTGCATGCTCTCTCGCGATTAAGCAGCTTAGGAGTTGTTCAAGGAACGAGACGCGGCCAGGGAAATGGAAATTGTTAATCAATTTCGTTGATCGCTTCCTTAAGACACGGTGTGGGGTGGTGATGGTATGAGGGTGGTGATAGTATGTGTGTGTGTATGTGCGAGTCGGGTGAAAACGGACGATTCGGCCAATGTTGGTGGCAGGCGGGCGATTTAACAATGCAGATGCGGCAAAGCTGTGCTATTTCTGTGCTCTCTGGCCTAAATCTCGGGGACAGTCCGTAAGCCGTTGAACGGATCGGGTCGTCGTAATCCTGGCGGCTTACCGCGCTGTGTATAGTCCACTAGTCGCTAATCCCTTTCGTTCTAATCTAGGCAGGCTGACCAGCGTCTTAACTCTCCGGCTCATATTGCCTTCCGGTCCTTTGTTCCACACGATCAATAATGCAACCCTATAAATAATACCACCGAGGATACTGGTAATAGGTAACTAATGTTCTGAAAGCACTAGTCGAGCAGTACTTCGTTCTGCTTTCTCAACTACGGCCTTTGTTGTTCTCACCACTTCTAACCTAACGCATCACCATCGTCCATCCTCCTTATGACCTACTTAGTATCACCCTTTGCACCTAACCTAACATTGACCATTACCTTCTACTCTCAACAATTTCTTTGCTTTCAATTACCGATATTGATTGAAGAAACTTCCGATCAATAAAATAGTGATTACAATTTATCGTAAAGTTTATTCTTAAATTCTTATGAGAAGTTTTGCTTTTGTTAGTTGTGTCGGTCAAGGAAATGCAAGATATATAGGTAGCGTACGTAGATTTATTTGTTGCGGTTTTGAATCGTATGTGGGAGATGTTCTTCGACCAATGACTTTGCTTGAGGATTATGGAAAAACAATGCAAAGTTCTTTCTACCTTTAGCAAGAGTCGAGTAGGAATTTGAAGTTCGAGTCTTAACAGACTGCTTACCTTGTGCTCTATTTGTCCCAAAGCTCCGCTGCCATTTTCGGATAAAATTTTAAGTAATCACTAACGCAATCGGGATTATGTCAAGAACTGTTTCATACCAACCGTTAAAGCTTCTCGTTGAGCAGATTCTGTCTAAAATAAAACTCCTTCAGCGGTTTAAAAAGCATCGATTAGAGAGTTCTTAAAGGAAACCTTTTCCAAAATAAAAAGCGCAGCCATTTTATAAAGGTTAACTACTAGATATCGCACAGCTTAACGACCAACTTCACATAATTATAATGCCCTTTTTTACATCTACGCCAAATACCAATTTAACTACCTGTTAAGCATATTTATTACTCATCATAAGGTCGTCAGTCCTAAGACTGGTTGGGCACGCACCTCCACTATTGAGCTAATCTTCGCATTTCCCTAAAACTAGATAATTCCACATCCTTAACTATTTGCGAACAGTAATATAATCTAGGTCTACCTCTACTCCTCTTAACTCCTGTTTCTGCCTTCATGCCTGAGAAGGTGTCCTACTAACCTATCTCGCCTATTTGCTGTGTGACTTCCATAGAGTCCTTTGTTCTCCTATTTTTTCTAATATCTGTTCATTTCTAACCTTCTCTATCCACGGTATCCTCATCATTCGCCTATAACCCCACATTTCGAACGCTTCTAACCCTTTTTTTCCGCCACGTCCACCGTTCATGTTTCACACCCGTACGGTGACGCGCTCCAAACATACACCCTTAACAAACTTTTTCGAATTTCTAAATTAATCGTTCGCGAGCATAGAAGTGACTTCTTTTTATTGAAAGCGACTCGACCCTGGGCTACCCTCTGCTTTATATCCCTACTACTCCTTCCGTCCTGACTTGTCTGACTTCCTAGATACCTAAAATCAGCCACTTCTGCTAATCTTTCGTCTCCTATGTTTATATTCGCTCTTTCACTACTTTTTCTTCCCTTCCATACCAGTATTTTTGTTTTATTTATTTTCATACAATATTTTTTTGTCAGTACCGCTTAAATTTTATTAATACTGCTATATCATCTTACATAATAATTAAATTATAAGACGTATCTAATCGTATTACATGAAAAAGGAAATTTTCTGGTAGAATTTCAAAAATTACAAAAACGTTTTCATTTTTATCGTTTAACCGTGAATTGTTAGGAACCTGCGTTTGCGTTATCAACCATTCCTAAAATTAGACAAAAAAAAGTACTTATAGATTGAAGGAATTAGATTATAGTAACTACACGTGTGGATTAAAAATTTGGAGCAAAAAACAGGTACAAATTAGGTACGTACGTATATGTTTTATCGTTTATAGGTGAATTACTGTGAAATAACCCTCAGTTGATTCTTAGCATAGCAACGTCTAAAGACGACTCGACTAATCTATAAGACGTGAAGTTGCTCCAGTTAAAGCTTTGTAATATGCAGAAACCTGCTTAACCTAACAAGATTAGCATAGAAAAGCACACGAGGCCAGCAAACCTTAATACTTGCATCAAAGTTTCCCTTCGCCTCAAAAACTTCGGCTAAAATTATTAAACATAACCCGCTCTAAATCCCGCCTAAGTCAGACAACTTAAATTCATTCCCGCCGGGAAAATTTTTGGATAACTTGATAACAAGGGGAAGTACCTAGACATTGTGTAACTCTCTTTGGCACAGCGTTTTATAGCAATAACAAAAAATGATATTTTGTATAACTCAATAGTTTACAAGCTAAATGAAGTCAAAATGTTGATGGTGCACATGCATTGAATAAAATAATATTTTAACCTATTTTCACGTGTATTATTTTATATGTTATTAAACAAATGAATGTACATATTGTGTATATCCAAAAATTAATTTATGAATACATGAATGGGATATAATGTTTATTACTTTCGGTTGAACAATAAGTCGAGATTAAGCGTTTTGCCTCCGGTGTTACTTTTATGGCCATTTGTGTATTTGCTTGAAGAGATAAAACGTTTATTATATTATAATAAATCCACAGTTGTCACGAACAGAAAATTGCTTTTAAATTACTGGGAAAGTTAAACAAAATCTCTTTTCTTGTCGCCCATTTAATCTGATTGTAAACGCGCATTAATAGTATTATTCTTTTAATCTAATCTTTCGTACACACAAAACGTACTGTTTTCTACAACTGCTACCAAAAAAAAACCAACCAATGTAAAATTACCGTTACACTGACGCCAAACAAATTAAATAACAATAAAATTTCGTATATGTACTTTTTTCATTTCCAAAAATCCTTCGTATCGAAAGATTTACTTACTGACCCAATTTTACAGTCAACGTCTGTACTTTAAATTAAGCAAAATAAGAAGATATTGAAAAGTGAAGTGATTTTTGCTGAGCTCTGCCAGAGTTCAGCTAGTTTTATAAAATGTTTTCTGTATAGAGAATGGAATGATGCCGTCTTTTTAGGCGTTAAAATAATCTTTCGCGTTCCAATTGATTGTGGTAGCGCTCTTTTTAACTTGAACGGAAATGAAGAAGTCTTTCCATGAGTAACAGAACATTTAATGTCATCCCAGCCCTGCTATCAATTGATCTGTCTGTCTTTCTTATCTCAGGATATTTTCCGCTTTACACGCTTCCATTAAATTCGGAATGGCTCGAAATATCTGCATTTGAGTGGCTATCGCAGCATCTCCCTTCGCCTTCGGCTGATATATTTACCGAGACCTGAAATATTCAGATCATCTGGCCTGTATCAATTATTTTGACTTTATCTTAGAACACTCTGCTAATCCCAAGCAAAAAATGAAGAAAATATTAATGCATTTTTCAAATTATTTCATTCTAGGTTTTAACATATACTTATACTAGTTGAGTCCGTCCAAATTTGGACGGTTGGTACACAGCAATAATTCCTCAAGCATATCATTTAGGGACACCTAAAATGGTAAGGTTTAACCGTGAATACTACCCAACGTAGACATATATATAAACCCATATACATTAATGTAGTTGTTTAGTTCCACCTCGAATATTTAATTAAGAAATCTGATTAAACAAAAGCATATTGGATATCGAAAATAGACTCAATTTGATCTTTTGATTAAACGTTTTCATAATCAGCTGGTTCCACAAACTTGTATTATCAGAGGAGATAGCCGCACCGATTATATTTACAACGTTTTTTTTTTTTGGATCAGATGAAACTACAAAACCCTACTTCTTCATAAGCCCGCAAACATACGGTCAAAAAATTCAATATTTCTTTAGCTTTCTTTTTCTACTTATTAATACTCTTACATAAGTTCGTAAAATCATTTTGAGTTATTAAGGAATTATCTGGTAAACGTAGGAATAAATAATGAGTAATTATTATTGATTGCCAGAGAAGCGTAATATGTATGTACATAAGTAATGGTAATTAAAGGTAGACTCTAAACAATTAGAAAGGTCAGTAATTGCCTGATGTATTTTGCGCTGTCTCTGTTCTTATCATTTTTCTAATTTAAAATTGCGCCTCATGTACTTGTGACGTCGAAATAATGCAAAATGCACACAGTAAAATTAAAACACTTCCAGGCAAATCCCTGCCGGTCCACTGTATCGTAGAATCAATCAGCATTATAGAAGAAAGCAAAGTATCGCAGCCGTGGAGGAAACGTTGTCTTGTAGAGACAGACAGTTACGTTATCATACCAGTTGGTACACCGTTTCAAGGACTAGTGCAAGCTGCCCTTCTGAGACTTGGTTACTCAGCTGAATGTGCCACAACAGCGAAAGGACTGGTTGTCATCAAAAACTGGAAGGGATTAAACTTTGAACAAATCTCAGACGATCCTCTAATCACTGTTGGCGATATTTTGGGGGAACTGACGGCTGTTGCAACATTAAGAATTCAAATTATTAAAAATCGCAATGCCGCTTTTGGGGACATTAAAGATAAACTTCTCCATTTTTTCCTTACCCAATCGCAAGGACTTTTGAATTCAACGGGATGTCCTTTGGATGAGGTATGTTTTATTCACTCGTCGATATAAATTATCAAATGCAGTATTTAAACAATGCCGATTACACGTTTGATAACGAAATAATGAAAGTAGAACTGCGACAAAACTCACAGTAATCATGAAAATTTTGGTAATCAATAATTACTTACTAAACAAAAAAAAATTAATAACTGCTGTTTAATTGGTTTTATCATTAAAAAAGATCGTTTTATCATAAAGATTATTTTATTAAGTATCGTAGCAACGTAATTATTGAAGATTGATTATTCCTAAGGATTAACATTTTTCCCTCCATCAGAAATATAATGTATTCCTTTAATCTGTGTAACTCACGGTGGAGTTATGATATCGCGCGGTGGATTTCTTACACATCGAGAATAAGGCAATATAAATGGAAAGTGAGCTCTAAATTCTGAATATTACAGTTATACGATAAAGACTTTAAGAAAAGGATGAAGATGAATGTGTTAGGCGTTAGGGATAAAGAGAATGGCAGTAACCTTGGTTCTAATCAGATTGCGTAACATTATTTTACGGTATTAATGAGATCAAAGCTTGCTTTAGTAGGTATATAACGTGCTTTCATTATAGTCCCTGTACGCCGTCTATTCTCGGATTGTTGAATTAGTGAACGTTTTAGCAAAATCCTTCTACCAGTTCAAATTTAGTTACCTGCATCTATTTACTACCGAAAGTCAGTCAAAGGGATCAACTAATGGACCCTTGACAATTTTTGCTTTCAAATACCGCCAATACATATCCAAATGAAGTTGTAACAGTCGTTAAAGATAGAAATACAATTCTTACACCTAAAGTATATATAATCTGTTACAGCTTATTTTATCACAGATATGCCGTACCGGAAACGCACCTCAGTCGCCGGACATATCTGACGACTGTCGACGAAAATTTGACCAATGGTGGAAATCCCAATTCAACTCTCAATCGCCTTCGAATAAGTCATATTCGGGAGTCCAATTTCCCAATCAATATCCAGCAAACGCCCACAGTCAAAAGCCTTTCGATCGGAATTTGATAGATCCCCTCCATTCGGTCATGCAAACGGTACAAAATCAATTTCCAACTCAAAAAACACGTATGCGCACCAGTTTTGATCCTGAACTTGAACTACCAAAATTGCAGCGATGGTTCGCTGACAATCAGCATCCCAGCCGGCAACAGATCCAGCAGTACGTCAAAGAATTGAATTCATTAGAATCTCGAAGAGGTAGAAAACCGCTAGATGTTAACAATGTCGTGTACTGGTTCAAAAATGCCAGAGCTGCACAGAAAAGGGCAGAAATTCGAAGTATCGGCCCAGGACTGAACTGCCATATACCGGTAAACGGCTTTGCCGATCACGGTTCGACGAATGGAACAAATATTTTATTGGGGGAACCCTATCTGGGTCATGCGCGTCCCGATAACCACTTAAAAGGAAACATTCCCGAATATTATCGCAGAGCTTTTCAAGCAACAAGAATGTCCGATGAACTTTCTAATGCCACGTCTGAAATGGAAGAGGACGACGTTCCCGAAAGTCAGCCGCAAAGTCCTGTAGCTCCATTGTCGCTGACGAAATCTTGCAGGAAAGACTACAAAGGCGATGATGAAAGTTCTCATCCTGGAAACTCTCCACCGACACCTGACATTCAGGTAAGTTTCAAGTTTATCGATAGCTTCGAGAGTTACGTAGCACGTCTAGCATTTTCCAGGTGCAATTGCCTACGACGGAAATTAAAGAGGAACCTGTCAATCTCCATTCTCCGCAGGATCAACAGTCCATGTCGCAAAAGGAAGCGACTTCTGATAGGGAAGATAATGGAGAAGGAGGAGACAAAAGCCGCATTCAATCGCTCAATACTTCCCAGGCTGTTGAACGGCCGCTTTCTCAAAGTTATCGGACATCTCCAGAATACGAGAGTCAACTTCCACAAAGATGCAACGATAGTTTAGAACGTTTAACAGCTGGATTTCCATTGGTTCCAAATTCCATGTTTAGTCAAAGTATAATGTACATGAGTCATTATATTCCCGGTGTCTCTCATCCGACCCCGTCACCCCCGAGCAGCTCCAACGTGCTAGGATTGACAGCCGACGAACGTAGGAAAAGGAACCGAACATTTATCGACCCTGTTACCGAAGTTCCCAGATTGGAACAATGGTTTTCATTAAATACACATCCATCACACAATCTCATTTTAAAATATACCGAAGAACTGAACTGTATGGCGTACAGGCAGAAATTTCCCAGATTAGAACCAAAAAATGTCCAGTTCTGGTTTAAAAACCGCAGAGCCAAATGCAAACGGCTTAAGATGTCATTGTTCGATGCCCAAACATCCCCCGCTTACCACCACGGCGACCGGGAATAAAAATCGTACTTAAGCTGTTCCACAAGTTTCGTTTGCTAAAATGCCAAAGATTCTAACTGTAATACATTACATTGTTTATTGCTTCTAGTTTACAATAGGTGATAATTGTCGACAGTTTGTACTTGTACAAATGAAGGAAGTACCTACATATACATACATATATAGATCATTGTCCAGACATGTTCAATGTACGTCTCAGAATAGTGCCAAAAGTCTGCTTTTCTTTTAGTTATGTAAAACGTGCAATTTTTTTGACATGTTACACAAGCCGTTTTAAGAATTGTTCATTAAGCTTGATTGTTATATAAACAAAACTAAAAATTTAAGAATAGCCGAGGCATCTATTCTAGGACATGCTTACATGTTTTTCATCCCTGTCAAATACAATAATCCTTCGTGATTTCAGTTATCCGCAGTTATGATAAAAAAATCGTAAACCCTATCGTCTATATATTATGAACTACTACATTTGTCTTAAGTTCAAAAATAAATGTGAATTTAATCCTTATTCTTTCTACTTACTACTTTCACTGTATTTCCCGTACTTAACCTTTGCGGATAACAAGGAATTTACTGTTTCAAAATTAAGGCTCGGAATTGTATTACATTATTTCAATATTTAAATATTTGAAAATACATAATTCAAAAAATATTATTTGAAATTTAAATATTCAATATTGAAATATCCAAATATTTGAATACTCAAAATTTCAAACATTTGGAAATCCAAACATCTATTTAAATGTAAGTTTAAAGACATATTTAATGATTCCCTTATTAAATGTTAGTGAGTTTCAATTAATTTTTTTAATGTCTGCTCAAATTTGTATAACTACCTGCTCAAATATTTGATTTATTGAATATTTGAGTATTCAAATGCTTAAATATCGAATAATTTGGATATTCAAGTCAAATTTTAAACAGATATTTGAACACATAAATATAAAAAAAATTCCGACCCTTAATTAAATCCTTGTGCAATCGTCTCTCAAACAGACTGATAATTCACATTGGTCTTTTGTACCAACTGCAATTAAAATGTATATTCATTAGTCTATATGTATGTTTGTTAAAATTAGACCAAAATTTGTTGTTATTTTTTTGTGATGACGCTTGAATAAACCGTACCTCATCATTCACTTTTAGTCTTTTACTTTGTTACACGATAACAAAAAAATAGTAATTTTCAGTTATTTTTTTTTTATGAAACTACCACCCATTCGCTGATAACGTCAAAGGGGTAAGTACAATTAAATTATTTTAATTTAAAATACGATTATGTGAAATAAATCAATTTTATGGATACTTAACCGTGTGCGACACCTCCACCAAATTTCTTGTTAGAATTAATTGTATATACTTAAAAATTAAAAGGAAGACTCACCCCTAATTACCACAAAAAAACTTTATCTGAGCGGACACGTGTTTCGACCACTTCATACGTGGACACCATCAGTCTCGCGTTGATATTTACCATTAATAATAATTACGCATTAATATTTACCACAGTCTCTCCTTTCTACTTTGAATTGCATATACGATTGATTATTTAATTATTGTTTATACAAATTTTTGCACATACAATCTTATATGGTTTTATGAATTACATGCGCTGTAAAGGGCAAAATAAAAGCTGAATATTTAATGTACCCATAAATTCGTTCCCCTAAATATAAACCGTTCATTTTCCGTTTCATTAGCATTTTATCAAAATAAAACTGTTAGAAATGAAACAGATCCAAACATCATCTGTAGGATTATCTTAATGACAAGGAAATTACAAAGTTCGTAGATAATCTATGTAGTAGAACAAGCGCGACTTTTACTCACATTCTCCATTAGAGTCGCAGACAATGAAAAGGGTGCCACAGTGAATAGATTCCGACGCGGTGGAGGAGCTTGCGAGCTGATATAAACCACAGCCGTAGCATTTGATAATCTTAGCTATATAAACCACCTTAAAGCCTTCGTACAACTAACACGATTCTCTCAAAAGCGACTGCGAAATAGCAATATTCAAAAATTTAACTTTTTTAAGTAAACGTGAAAAGATTATATCTAGTCATTAACATGAAAATGACTCCTTGGCGAAAACAATTGTGTTTAATAAATTTGATAAGTTTTTATGTGTTTTTATTCTATCGGGTTGTTCGGAAAGTCATTTCGTTTTTTCCCGACAGAGGATTTAATTGTATTCTTTTGCACCCAACTTCACATTTAAGCCGTATAATTATTATATGCTTTGAGAGCTCATATGGCAAGGCTTGTGTGTGAAAAATTCCAATTAATTCTACGCAGTAGTTTTTGGTTGGTGCCCTTTTAAATATGGAGAGCGATAAGCAGCATTTTCGACATATCTTACTGTTTTACTACAGAAAGGGTAAAAATGCTGTTCAAGCCAGAATGAAATTGACTGATGTGTATGGAGAAGGTGTGTTGACAGTACGCCAGTGCCAGAACTGGTTCGCTAAATTTCGATCCGGCAATTTTGATGTCGAAGATGCACCACGTTCGGGAAGGCCGGTTGAAGCTGATAAAGACGCGATAAAGGCATTAGTTGATGTGCTTCTCAAACGTCACGAAAATGATCCGTTTTTGAAGCGTATCATCACTGGGGACGAAAAATGTATTTTTTTATACAACAACGTCAAACGCAAGAGGTCATGGAGCAAAAAAGATGAACCGGCTCAAACCTTTTCCAAAGCCGATATTCACCAAAAAAAAGGTGATGCTGTCTGTTTGGTGGAATTTTAAAGGAATCGTTATTTTTTTGAGCTTTTACCGGATAACACAACGATTAATTCGGAAGTCTACTGTCATCAGCTGGACAAACTGAATGATGCACTTCAACAGAAAAGGTCAGAACTAATCAACAGGAAAGGTGTAGTGTTTCACCAAGACAACACGAGACCTCACACAAGTTTGGTCACTCGCCAAAAGCTTTTACAGCTTGAATGGGATACAATGCTACACCCACCATATTCTCCAGACCTGGCACCATCGGATTATTATTTGTTCCGGTCACTCCAAAATTTTTTAGACGGTAAAACCTTCACCTCAAATGAGGAGGTCAAAAACCTCCTCGATCAGTTTTTTGCCAGCAAAGACCAAAAATTTTATGAGCGTGGAATTATGCTACTACCAGAAAGATGGCAAAAGGTGTTGGACCAGAACGGTTAATATAGAATTTAATAAAGTATTTGTTTATTATACGAAAACTGTCTTTCATTTCCACAAAAAAAAACGAAATGACTTTCCGAACAACCCTATATTTACGTAGTCAACTGCTTCATCAACCATGTAACTTTAAAATCTGATTATAATTATTTGAGTAATGTACCTAGTTTTCATGTTTCTGTTAAGGAAAACAGCTATTTAGAACAAATGCTGAATAGTATTGTCAAGTTTAGTTAAACATGTCTGTAGCGCAAACTTTAGATCTTGTAAAGGGATTTTAGGGAAACTGCATTTTCCACTTCTCCAGATAATCCCCTAAAAGCGCGGAAAGCCTAGAGTTAAACGGTTCAGAGTGAAATAAAGACATTTCCTGCTATAGATAATTTTCTCGTAAATTTACTTTCCATTTTACTCGGCACATATATATGGGAAGAGGAAAGAATTAAAACAAATTAACAAACCACGACGATTTGAAATAATTATTGCCTATTGGAATTTTGTAGGTACGAATCAAACTTTATTAAATACTCATCCACTTTAAATCCTCGCGCTTTTCAATTAACCTCTGATTATTAATAAATCCGTTAGCTATAAAAATAGTTTAGCCCCAAATTTGATTGAATTTCGATATATTTGGAATACAATTTATTGCGTACCTGACGAAACTTATAATTTAATTTTAATTGTATTAATTAGTTTACAATCCCAATCGATATGTGAGGGATTTAATGTCACTAGATTATGTGTTACACAGAGATATTTATTTAAAAAAAGTTGATAAACGGTTAAAGCATTTTATGTTGCTTATCTCTCGCGCTGAGAATTTTCGTACTGACGGACCTATGTACATATAACGCGTGGAAATTGAAAAAGTCCCGCAAAATGGACGTGATGCCGTATTTTTTATCTTTAATTTAGCGGCATTCTGATAACTGCGTCTTCGGTGGGCCGCCTGCGGCCTGGTAAATGTGCGTCCTGCTAAGTCTTACTGCGTTCCCTTCTATATTAGTATTTATTATTCATAACTGCTCTGGAAAGTTGGAACGCCACTATTACGTATGATAAAAGATGCCCAACGAGATCATCCCTCAAACGTTTTTATCGAAGAAGAGAATAGCGCGACGGAAAGGAAAAGGGAACCCAAAAGCGCTTGCCTGCGCTAACATTTCCAGAAGGAAACACGTCACCGACAATAATTCTTTTAAATACAATTTCAGATCATCTTCCTACAATCTTCCTTCTACTGATTTCGTTAAGATTAGTTTTATAACTTTTAAATGCATGATATCATTTAAATTAATGACACTTACCTACACGATACGTATATTTTTCTTTATTCACTAATGTCTAATCATAATTACGTTTTCGCACAAAATTTTCTACTGTCTCTTCGCTCGATTTAAACCGATTACAATTTTCCGTTTGTTTTTCGTACATAGACCACGTTTTACTTCACAATATAAATAAACATTTTTCATATCCTTAACAACCGCACGATAGACAACTAACAAATTTGTTATGAATTAAAGAAAAGCGGTTGCATAACTTGAAATTCAAAAGCACATAAATACATTAGTTTTAAAAGCTGTCACTGTATCTTCAAACGTATGTAATTTAATAATCTTATCATATTAAAGGATATATCCAATGCATGTCTCCTGAAGAAGAAAAGCTTCACTTTACACAATTTATGTACTTAAATAGAAATGTTTTAAGACTAGTACGTCTAATTTTCTTGTTAAATTCACATTTAATAATTCTATCGAATAGCATGGTACGGAAATGAATTCTTAACATTAAGTCTAGCAAAACGTTGATGTTCAAGGCTCATTCATAGTGTTCAAATTTAAGTACCAAATGCACCCATTACAATTACATTTAAATATATCCATTGCTAACAACACATACCACAATTGTTTTTGCTTAATTCGTGTCGTTCAACAGAAGGACGAATTTAAGCTTTTGTTTTACCCTTTTACTATTTCTGTTTAGCAAATAAACAAATTCATATTGTTATATGTACGAACAGTTAAATTAGATAAAATGTACTATACAGGATAATTCATTCACTCAAAAATTCTCCTATTGATTTGCAGTCAAATTGAACAGAATTGTATAAAGATCAAGCAAAATTCTTAACCATTAAAATATAGATAAGTACATTTTACCTGCGAAACAACATAACTTGTTAGCTTTTACAGAACGCTATGTCCTGAAAAGGATAATTTTACCCCCATCGATTTCCTGCCCGTGTGTGCGCTACTTAAACCGACAAATAATTAAAGTTAGATGAAATAATATCACACAAAGATTTTTCAGTTTCAAGTTCTCAAACTTATGGCAAAAACTCTGGTTAAAACAACCTGTGTAGTGTGGTGTCGATATTTCTTTAGGTCTACAGGAATTTATAGTCAGCTAAAGGAAAAGTTTATAAATAATAATATGATTTAATTTTAGTGCCAAGTAGATTCTTAT